ACGAGGAGGAGGAGTAGGAGGAGGGGGAGGAGGAAGAGGAGGAGGAGGACGAGGAGGAGGAGAAGGAGTAGGAGGAGGGGGAGGAATATTAGGAGGACGAAGAGGGGGACGAGGAGGGGGAAGAGGAGGAGGGACATTGTTCTCTGATTCTCTGGCTCGGGGAGGGATGCTGCACATGTACATTCGTGTGTGCATGGATGGTGAAACACAACATGTCGAGCTGCTGCAACCAAACTTACGAGGTTAGCCCGTGGAGTAGACGCCACCGCCAGCAGCGGGACACCCCTTGCAAGGAGGTCCACGATGCACCCCTGAGGTGGTGGTCGGAGATGCCTCGATCGGGGACGCGGAAGACTCGAGTTCGCCCGAACTCGGCTGTGCTTGCGTTTTCTGACGGGCCCTTCTGAATTTTCACGGTCCAGTTTTCTTGGGATGTCTGCAGCGGGAGACCGCGCCAAATTTCAGACCTGGTCTCGCCATTCTCTTTGCGGGCTCCTTCTGGCCAGACCGAGCCCCCCACACCCGATTCTGAAGTCTCCCCGGCTCGAGCGGGACGCAGAACACAGCGACGCCACACCGCCACGAGGGCGCCCCTGCCACGTGGTTAACGGGGCAGCAGGGGCCCTGCTGCCCCGTTCACCACGGTGGAAAGGTGTCGTCATCTTTCCGTGCTCGTCGCTCTCCGGCGAGGGCAATGAGTATGGCGAGGAGGGGCGGCGATCAGAGTGGAGATCGGGTTATTGCCCGTCTCGCCTGGCCTCTCGGGCCTCCTTGGGGTCTTCGTGGCCATTCTTGGTTTTTATGGCAGCGCAGCTTTCATCAACATGTCGTCACAACGGCAGGGCCCGTATGCCGAGTCCCTCTTGGGGGCGGCAGCGACGGGTTCGTAGCGTAGGGTCTGTGCGTCCAAGGGCACTCGAGGCCTCGGCAGGACGCAGCTCGGAAAATTGGCGTGGATGGCGCCCTCGGAGGGGCCTGGGAACCCGTTCACGTCGGTCGGGAGAAGTATGTACAACAATGAAGTAGGAAGGTGGATCAAGCATGTTGGGCACAGGCCATCCCAGAGAATAACAGAACGCAGGAAAGCAGACCGCTTCTTGAAGGAGGGAGGCTCCTGAAGTAGATTGGCATATTGGAATGAGTGGACTGCGCGGATCTTCTTGTGTGCGGATCTTGTTTGTTGTGTGTGTGTGTGTCGGGGGGCAGCTTCTAAGGAGGCGCCCCGCCTCCTCGGGAGGCGCCTCCCCGAAAGCCTCCCGGGGGTGGGGAGCGGGGCCCTCCCTGGTTGCCCCCGCTGCGCGGTTGCGTGCGGCAGGCTCGCCTCGTGGCGTCGACGCGGCGGCGACCCCAGCGATGGCATCCGGGGTTGACATCCGCCAGTGGTCCAGAGTCGAGCGATGGCGAATGGTCTGCGCCGTCGGAGGGCCGCGCTCGTTCGGGGCTGACCGTTCCACGCAGTGCCAGAAGCCAGCGCGCAGGACGCCATTTTGCACGAGCCTGCCGCAGAACGCCTCTCCCCCTCGCCCCATGCCCACTTGCGCCGAGAGTGTCAGAACCTCGCTGTGAGTTCGGAATGCTCTCGGAGTGTCTCAGATGATTTTGCGGCGTCTCTGGTAGATGTTCCAAGGGAGCCTTCATAGTGCCAACCTCATCCAGAACAACGCGATCACCACAGAAGCACACAGGAGGCAGATGACAACCGGCCGCTCGTAGACATCGTGGTGGCACAATCCTCATGTTCTGAATTATCCGTTGCACATCCTTTTCATATATCAGTTTTCGCCAGTGTTTCTAACCGCGACGCGATCAAGCGCCCATGCATCCCCTCTTGATGGTTTCTCCACCTCAAAGGGAGGCAGGGGGGGCACAGAGATTATAGGAGCAGCGGGAGAATTAAGGTGCGCGGCGTTCTTCGTGAGCATCCTGGAGTTTTGCGCCAGCTGCGCGCGTGGCTCTTCATGCACGTGCAGCGTTGAAGCATTGTTTCTATGGTGCAGTCCCGAATGCATCGATATGACTAGCCAAGTGCAGTGGCCAAATGGCCAGGCTGCATAGGACACCAAATTCTTCCTATGCGTTGCAGGCCATTCTGAATTGCTGACCGTAGTATAACATGCACTCTGTCTGTATCTCTCCCTTTCTTTATTTATATATATATATATGAATATCCACATATATATATATATATATATATATATATATATATATATATATAGATATATATATAGATATAGATATACAAGATTTTGAAGGCTCGCTCCGCTTCGCCTTAAATCTTGGCCCATGGGGTGTTCGAGAACACGAGTGAAGGAGTGGCGGGGGAACTCATGGATCCCAGAAACTCATGGTTCCACAGGGGGCGAGGAGATAAAACAAAGGGGTGTTTTTTTTTGGTGTCGGTGCGTTGGAGGAGTTGCTCTACTCACGGGTCCGCTTGCGGTCTCCAGTTGCCACCCCGCCCCAGACGTGCGGCAGGAGGACCTCCCGATGCCAGCGCCGGTGGGCCGCGCGCATCTTCTCTAGCCAGGAGTCCGTCGTCTCTGTTCTCCTCAGGCGTGTGCCATAAACGAAGGTGCGCACTTCGCAAACTGTGTATTGCGATTCGTGAAAGTCCATGGCGCTGAAGCCGAGGAGCTCGTTCACTTTTGAATGCAACGACATGCTTCCCTGCCTGGAAGTCAACAGTTGGATCAACGTGCGGCCGAGGTCCCGTTCGCCCTTAGAAACGTTCGTGGCAACGGTGGCCCCGGCAGCCTCCACGGGCCCCCTGTCTGCCAAAGAACTGTAAATCGAAAAACCTTTTGGGCACAACTTCCGCAAGAAGTGAAAATCTCCATCGCCAACATGTTCAATGAAAGAAATGTCTGATATGATCGACTGCTCCCAATTGCGCGCTCCGAATGAGCTCCGGAAGAAACGCATGTATGCCAGCTGTGCCTGATAAGGCAGCCAATGCGCGTGCGTGGCAAGAAGTGTGTTTGTCTTTTGAACCAACAGGACGGGGCTCTTGCTCAACTGGGCACTGTGTTCTCGTAGGGTAGCGGCAATGTGGTGCATGCGCACAGCAACTGTCAGGCTTTGTCCCGGATTCGTTTGGCACGAGATTGGAGTTGTCGTCGCCTTCTGTGAAGCTCGGGATGTGGTATCCTGCATCTGGTTGTCGGCCATACAGGTCTTCGCAAATAACCAGTGCGTCGTAGAAGCGACGGACGTCGTAGGAATCCACCGAAATTAAAGCCGGCAACTTTTCGTCCGTAGCCATGGTGTTGCGCTGGTCCAAAAGTCGTTTCTGGAGTGTCGCCCGGGCGGCGGCGTCGCCCAGGAGCTGCGCCCGGGACGTCTTTTGATGAGCGAGCCAACTATACACGGCCAGCGAGGTGATCAAGTAGTGGCCTTCGTTTAAGTAAACAGTTGACATGATGACAGAAAATGCCAAATTGATCCATGGATGTGTTTTGTTGGACATCATGAGGTAATGTTTTGTGGCGCTCGTAGTGTCCAGAATGGGATGGAAATGGTTGAGTTTGCGTTTGCTGAAGTCGTGGTTCACCTGAGGGGCAAGCTTGTCTGTGAGGTTTCCAAGGTTGAACGCGTCTGGCAGCTCTTTGACAGGAACCCAGTGGTGCATGTCCCGACCACCTGTTTTGCGCTTGTGGATTGCATTCACGAAAACGTCACGATCATGTTTCTTGTAAGTGCAACTTCCATCCAAAAAGCATATGGGAAATGCGACAAATCGTGGTACGTAGCGTAGCTCATGCAGTTACGACATGGAAGCATGAGGTGCCAACACGTCAAAACATCTTTGTCACAAACAATGCCAAGTATGCCGTCCGAGGAAGCCGTTCTGATAGACTTCTGTTCGCTGGGTGACAACATGTTGCCAATGGATGCGTTCGCCGCCCCGTCAGGCATAAGCGCATGAAAGGGGGATGTGAAAAGGGAGGGTGGCCAGAGGAGGGGCGCGGAAGATTGGGGGAGGGAGGAGGCTGACTAGCGGGCAGAAGGTGACGATGACACAGGACAGCAGAGAGGGAGGAAGGGAGAGTGCAATGGAAAAGGGAGGGTAGCATGAGGGTGCGAGACAGGCAAGTGTTGATCTCTGGCCAGTGGGGGTTGCACGTAAGGGCGATGAAATAAACTGGGGGGCCTTTCCGGCGTGCCAGTTCCAATGCGTCCACTCGGAGCCGCTTGAGATGGCGCGGGGAGCCAGGGACAGTGGAGGGGAGGTAGTACTTTGTGCAAATTGCGATGGTGGGGATGTGTTCGTTGGCCAGAGCCTCGCGCAAATCTTTGCGGCTGGCAATGCGAGTGCTTTGCTCTCTCCTGACCAGCGACAGCCTTTCGTCCTCCATCCGGCAGTGCATGTTGATGAGCCAGTCGTTCAACAGACGCCCGCGCGCGCGCGTGTGGGGCTGGCGGAGGAGGTGCTGGAGGTACCACCACATCTGCGTCACGTGGTTGCCGGATGTGGACACGGCGTCGGTGCTCCACCCGCGGCCGCCGCATGGGAACCACCGCGGGTAACCCAGAGGCTCGTAAAGGCAATGCAAGGGTGAAAGGTATTGTGGGCGGGAGCTTGGCGTCAAACGGAAGCACGCTGCCCTAGGTTCGGCGATGGCGTCGGGGCGTTGCTGCGCTACTGCGGCCACTTCTTGGATGCCTTCGCCCCAGCGGAGGGTGACGGAAGCCTGTGGGGCACGGGGCCACGCGGATTTGAGGTGCTGAACGTGCTGCATGTGCGGATTGTGCGGTATGATGAGCTTCTCCAGCTGGGAGACGATGGACAGGTCGAGGCCGTGCTCCCGTGCGCAAGTGCGGCGTTCGCGGTCGTCCACCACGAGGTACCGGACCGGCCCAGAGTCGGCAGCCGAGTACACTTTCCTGTACATGGTGCCGTGGATGCGAATGAAGGATGGTCTCAAGACGCTTCCAAATCGGACTTCTCGTTCAGGAGTGGCGCTCTGGACTTCGTGGGCGGCGATGTGGTCTTCGACGGCGTCGCCGTTGGAGTCGTACTCTATGGCGTCCGAGCTTCGGGTAACGAATTGGCGCAGCAAGTGCGTCTGCGTCAGAGTGTCCAGGATACGGTCGTTGAAACAATTTCTCGCCTCGTTTGTTGCTGTCAGAATCTTCCGGCGGGCGCGCTCGGCGGGGTCGTTGACGCGGGTGAAGCAATAGCTGATGGCGTTGTCCATGGTGTGGATGACGGAGCAGCGGTCCAGCTCGACGTAGCCCGGCTCGCCATCGATGGAGTGCGTGTGCGGAAGGTCGCCCTGGCTGATGCGTTCGATCCACGAAGCGTAGTCTGCGTCGTGGATTTGCCGGCGCGCGGTGCGGAGTTGCCAAGTGCGGAAGGGCGGCCACGAAGGCGACGTCGTGACGCTCGCGGCGCGGATGTCCTGTCTCGATGCGCGCTTGAGAACAGGTGGTATCTGTCGGAAGTCCCCGTATGTGATGATTACTTTTGGGACGTAGACGTCGGGGTGGGCGCGCTGCAGCGCCGCGAGGTAGTCGAGGACCGCGTCCCAAGCAGCGCGCTTGCAAGACGGCCACTCATCCCATTGGATGACTGCGGCGGCTGCGATGGTAAGGGCGTCCGCAGAGGAGTGGCCCAAGCGGCAGGTAAGGTGCTCTGCGTCCTCTATCGGGATCTTGAAGGTGGAATGCGCGGTGGCTCCATCTGGCAAGTTGAGGGCTGCTATGCCCGTAGAGGCCACATTGACGCAGCCTTTGTTGAAGGAGCGCACGTAGTAGGAGATGTACTCGGCGAGCGTGGATTTTCCGCAACCAGCTTTCCCGTGGCAAAAAAATGAGCCTCGACGTGCCGGAGCGCAAAGCGTCGATGACGTCCCTGGCGGCTGCGGAGTGATCAGGGTCTCGTTTGATGAGTATCCAGAGTCTGCCGGCTTCTGATGCAGCTGTTGCCGGGGTTTGGTTGGGGAAGTTGGGCACTGGCATGCCATGGGCATTGCAAAGAGGAGCGTGGCAGCGTAGAAACCAGGCGTCCTCAGCGTTGCCTTGGGCCAGCCAAGATGCCTTCAACGTTCGCTGTAGCTCCTGGCGGGCGCTGTCCTTGGAGAGACCTCTGTCGAGAAAGTATTTCATCAAATGTGCCTCGTACTTGTCGTGCAGAGTACGGGGTTTGGCGCCCAGCTCGAGGAGGACGACGAAAGCGAATCGCAGTTGAGACGCCGTGTATCGGATCGAGACCAGCTCGTCCATGACACGGGACGTTTCGTCTTCGTGGGTGAAAAGCCCCGTGGCAACCATGGCCTCCTCGTAAGATGCGTATGCATGCCCGCCGTAGGTTTTGCAGTCCTGGAAACTGCGCTTGGGGTAATTCAGTAACATGTGGCGGAGGAAAAAGACATCCTTCTGCCGGGGGGGCTTCATCTCCAAGCGGCAGACTGGATGTTCGCCTTTCTGCTTCAAATAAACGAAGAATTGGTTACCTGCAGGGCCTGTGTCGAGGACGGGCGGCACCTGGAACGCACGCAAAGTGCCGCGAACCCGGCGCTGGAACATGAAAGTGGAGGCGTCCTTGGGTCGCCCAGCCGCTTCAGGGAAGAGGTCAGGGAAGAAGCGTCGCAAGCCAATCGGGCGCGTCTCTGCCACCATGAAGGATTCGAAATACTCGTGGCAGAGCAAGTCGTTGAAAGGCGCAGTGGTGGGCCGGAAGAAATATCGTTGCAGGGGGGAGACTGTAGTCTGGAGCGCTTCCGTCTCGCCGCCGTCGGCAAAGGTCACCCAATCGTCGCCAGGGAGGTGCGCAGGTAAGCAGATGACGTGGGGGACGCGCTCGTAGGTCTGATATCCGAAAATACGCCAGGCACATTCCGTGGCACAGAGGTAGCGTCCACGTTGCCAATCCGTTATTTCGTCGGTGGTGTCGTCAGATATGTGGAACTGGGAGTGGTCGGGGCCTTTGAATAAGTACTTGTAGAGGTACTCGAAAAGGTTGACGTTGCCCGCAAACTTTACATTAGCGTGCCCTTGGCAGAACACCTCTCCATGTCGGTGTGAGGGTGGACATGAAGGGGTTGACGGGGAGGAGGAGGAGGGGGGGGAAAAAGGGTTGTGAAGAGGGATAGTGAAGGGGAAAACCGTGCAAACACCCGGCACAGAAATCAGACATCCAGGGTATCGGTGGGGTGCCCGAAATGCATGGTTTGCTGAGGCGCGGTGTCTGAAACGGGATGTCAAAAAATACGTATTGGAAGACAGTTTTTTGACATGGGTTCTTTGGCTGGTTATGTATGAAAAAAATACATTGGGCGAGTCATCGGGGCAGGATTTGCGGGAAGTGGAAGTCTGCGGAAAGCGGGTCGAAAAAATACGCATGGTGAGGTGTTCTGGCGGTCCTTCCCAAAGCTGGAGGATGTGGGGGTTTTACTCGACGACGAGCCGGTTGCAGCATGCATTTCGGCGTCCGCACGCAGGAGCCTTCTGCACGCAGTTCGGGCAAGTGTGGCCGCAGGGGCGGCGTCGGTGGTGCGGGTACCCTCGGACGTCGAAGTCAGTGTCGTCCTTGAAAGGCCAAGGGCAACCTTTGACGCACTCCTGGGCTGGGTCGTCAGGGTGGCATGAGTGGTTGCATCGGTGGATCATGTGGAGCAAGACCAAGTCACGGAGTCTACCAGGTTCTGGTGGGACCTCGCAAGAAATCACAGCGTCGACCTCCTCGGCTGTGGTGGGTGGGTCAGTGCACGCGAGGACAATATGTGCGCGCGGCAGACCTCGTTTCTGGTACTCGATCACGCGGATGACGTACTGGCGCTGGCCGCAGAACTCCGACTTGAGGTACCCCATCATTTTTTTCGAGACGTCCGTGAAACACCCGCACCGTGATGTCAGGGCGGTCGGCGGCCGTTTGTCCGGGAGCGAGTGCGTCCTTGATCTCTGGCCAGGTGGGGGTTGCACGTGCGGGTGATGAAATAAGTTGGGGGGCCTTTCCGGCGCGCCAGTTCCAATGCGTCCACTCGGAGCCGCTTGAGATGGCGCGTGGAGCCAGGGACAGTGGAGGGGAGGTAGTACTTGGTGCCAATTGCGCTGGTGGGGATGTGTTCGTTGGCCAGAGCCTCGCGCAAATCTTTGCGGCTGGCAATGCGAGTGTTTTGCTCTCTCCTGACCAGCGACAGCCTTTCGTCCTCCATCCGGCATTACATGTTGATGAGCCAGTCGTTCAACAGACGCCCGCACGCGTGCATGTGACTGGCGGAGGAGGTGCTGGCGGTGCCACCACATCTGCGTCACGTGGTTGCCGGATGTGGACACGGCGTCGGCGCCCCACCCGCGGCCGCCGCATGGGAACCGCAGCGGGTGACTCAGAGGCTCGTAAAGGCAATGCAAGGGTGAAAGGTATTGTGGGCGGGAGCCTGGCGTCAAACGGAAGCACACTGCCCTAGGTTCGGCGATGGCGTCGGGGCGTTGCTGCACTACTGCGGCCACTTCTTGGATGCCTTCGCCCCAGCGGAGGGTGACGGAAGCCTGTGGGGCACGGGGCCACGCGGATTTGAGGTGCTGCATGTGCGGATTGTGCGGTATGATGAGCTTCTCCAGCTGGGAGACGATGGACAGGTCGAGGCCGTGCTCTCGTGCGCAAGTGCGGCGTTCGCGGTCGTCCACCACGAGGTACCGGACCGGCCTAGAGTCGGCAGCCGAGTACACTTTCCTGTACATGGTGCCGTGGATGCGAATGAAGGACGGTCTCAAGACGCTTCCAAATCGGACTTCTCGTTCAGGAGTGGCGCTCTGGACTTCGTGGGCGGCGAGGCTCAGCAAGCTGTTGTAACGTCGAGAATCGGCAGTGAAACCCGTCAGCTTTGGTGCGCTGGTGGTGTCGTCGTGCACGAGCCGGCCGTGCGTGTCGGCAACTGGCCACGTCCGTTGGAACAGCTTGAGCAAGGAGGAATCGGGCTGGGAGTAGTAGCTGTTGAAGTCGACGACGTATTTCCCATGACCGCAACAGAAGCCGCTCATCTCGCGTTGGAACAGGAATGCGCCGCAGTGCGAGCATTGGTGGTCCTGGCGGCCCAAAGACAGAGTTTGTACTGTGCTGGAGGGTCGGCCGGGCATTGTGCAAGCGCGGCACACTCCGAGCAATAAGTGGCGATGGCCGGTTCCGAAGTCGTCATGAGGGAGGACCAAGCCGCATTGAGCGCGGGCTGCGGTCTGACGGCCTCTGGCAATGCAAATGGCGCAGACGGGGTCAGAGGCGACCGCGCCTCGTACGGCGAAAGCGTCGGTCGGTTTGGTGCTTCCGCAGCTTACGCACGTGAAGGCGCGGGGTGACCGAGGCGTCTGAGCGTCCGTGACAGCGGCGACACACTGGATACATTTCTTCGTCTGTCTCCGCCGTTGTCTGCTACTGAAGCTGTCTCGGGGCAAATCGTCCCCGCAGCCTGCGCAGAGTAAAGTAGGCTGGGGGCTGGCAGGGTTGGCGCTGGCCGCGCAACGGACGCACTTTCTAGTGGACCGCCGTCTCTGTTCCGTGCTGAAGTCAGACTTGGGCCAATCCTGTCCGCACACAGTACATCGAAGCATGTCTGCCGTGGACATGCGCGAGACCGCTGGAGCCCAAATGTTCACGGAGGAGTGGGAGGAGGAGGAACGCCAGATGGGTCTTTCGGAATATTCTGCGCGTTGTGTCCGGGTGCACACTCTCCCCCACAGAACTCTTGGGGGCCTCCGGGGGCCTCTTGGGGGCCTCCTGGGGGCCTCCTGGGACATCCTGGGGGCTTCTTGGGGCCGAGGGCCCGAAAAGCCAATTCGGATCGGCCGTCTTGGGGGCCTCTTGGGCCGGCGTGGGCGGCTCTTCGGCCGTCTTGGGGGGCCCTTGGGGGCCTCCTGGGCCGTCTTGGGGCTCTCTTGGGCCGTCATGGGGCCCCCATGGGTGCCTCTTGAGCCGTCTTGGGGCCCTCTTGGGCCGTCATGGGGCTTCCTTGGGGGCCGCTTGGGCCGTCTTGGGGCTCTCTTGGGGGCCTCCCGGGCCTTCTTGGAGCGTCGGAAAGCCGAAAAAGCGAGAAAGCCAAGAAACATTGGAAAAACCAATGAGAATCAACGATTTTCGCCTCATGGGGCCCTCTTCGGAGGCCTTTTGGAGACCGCTTGGGGCGTGTTGGTGGCCTCTTGAGGGCGTTCCGGGATGTAATGAGATCTCTTGGGCCCTCTTGAGGCCATGTAAGTCCCGCTTGGAGCGCTTTGAAGGCGTTCGTTGAGCGTCTTGGCGGCTTTTTGTGCCGTCTGTGATACTGTTTGGAACGTCTGGGACCGATCGTGGGCCGTCTGGGCTGCCTCTTGGACCATTTTGGGTGCGTCTTGGGGCTCCTTGGGGGGCCCTGGAGGGGTGTGTGTGGGCGCGGGCCCCCCCCCCCCCCGGATCTCATGGGGGGGCTTCCCGATGTAATTTTATAGAATAAAAGAATACGGGATTCTGGCACATCCAGCAACCGCGCCCGGGTCGTGAACAAGGTGCCTCCTGAAAGCTTCTGAGGGTCTCCTGGGAGGCCTCATGGATGCCGATCCGGGAACCTATTTGGAGCTTCTCGGGGGTTTCGTGGGGCCTCTTGGGGGCCTCTTCGGAGCCTCGGGGCCCTCTGCTGGCGGTCTCGGGGGGCCCTCGTTGGGGAACGGGCTCGATATGTGAGGGGATGTGTTCCCCCTTCGGGGGCCGTCTCGAGCCTTCCTCCACCCTCGCTCCTCCGCCCTCGCTCCACCCTCGCTCCTCCCCCCCCGCTCGATGTGTAAGGGGATGTTCCCCCTTCGGGGGCCGTCTCGAGCCTTCCTCCACCCTCGCTCCTCCCCCCCCCCCCTCGTGCACTCCGGCGTGGCGGCCGCTCCGGCGTCGCTCCTCCGCTCTCTCCTCCGCTCCTCCCTTTTGAAAATCCCGCCGCCCGCCCCCTTCCGGGGGGAGGGCAGGGGAAGGGCAAGGGAAGGGCAGCGGCGCTCGACCCCTGCTCGCTGTGGCGCGGAGGAGAGGGAGTCAGAGCGTGAACTACCTGCCCCGCTTTCGCTTCCAGGCAAGACCAAGTCATACCACGCGCCTCCTCGTCAGGCGGCCTGACCAGTACAGGCCGTAGTTTGGCATCGCTTGGTATATCTTGGAAGCGAGGGTGGTCAAAAGCGAGGTAGGCTTGTTTGCCCCCCAAGGAGGCGGGGGAGGCGGAGGAGGCGGAGACTGAGGTGGAGGAGGAGGAGGAGGAAGACCAGTGGAAACCCAAGAGTCATCAGCGATGTTGGAATAAACCCTCCCTGCAAGCTCCCTGTTCATAGGCCCCATACAACGGTTCATTTCCACTGAGGGATCTGCTCGCTGAAAGACAACCGTTTTGACTGTTGCGTCTTGACGATCTTGAACCGTCCCAGAACACCGCTCCAGGGACTTCGCCGCGAATCAGCGTAGCTGTTGTACCGTCGTAATCCTGAGTCTTTCCAAAACACCATTCTTGATTTGCTGACCATGGGAATCCGTGAAATCTTTGCGCAGTTTAAGAAAACCGAATGTGCGCGGCGGCAAGGCGAGAGCCACATTTAGGCGGAGCCACATTTTCAAAACCACCCGCCCACAATCCGTGAAACTCTTGCACATGTCGGAAACGAGTGTGCGCGGCGCTAAGGCGAAGCCACATGTTGAAAATCAGCCGCCCTGAATCCGTGAAAGTTTTGCAAATTCTACAACGCATGTGTGCAGCGTTACTGCGAGAGCTACATTTTGGAAACCAGTCGCCCTCAATCCGTGAAGCTATTGTACGTTTTTTTCCTCAAAACAAAAACGAAGCATGTACGCGGCACTAAGACAAGAGCCACATTTGTAGAACCACCCGCCCTCCAACTGCGAAGCTGTTGCCAACTGTTTAACTTCAGGGTCATAAAAGGGGTGAGGGTGTCTCAGGCGAAAGGCCCCGCCTGCCGTAAAAACTTGCCTCGGGGTGCGACATGGAGAAATTTGTTATAAGGCAAAGAAATTGAGCATGAGGAGGCGGAGGAGGCGGAGTTGTTAGTGTATAGCGTTCCGACTGGGTAAACAAGGCAGTCCGACGTGGTTGTAGCATTGTTGTCAAGCCGCAGTGTGTTAGAGTAAACTGTTTGGGTCTGCTGATTGGCTCAAGTCCGTTCGCCTTCATGGAAATAGGCTCCAACCATATTTTCATGGCAGCGGGGCCCGTGTCTCGCCCCACGGCTTCCAATGGGCGTGGCTACTTCGCGAAGCACCTCCCTTCCGGCAGTGGCCGCAGCGGCAGCCGCAGCGGGACCCGCGAACCTTGGTGCAGCCGACCCAGGTTTCGTTGCAACGTTACCCGAAGTCCCAGAGGCATGGTTCAACGTGAGCACAATCCGATTCAAGGAACTGCGCACAGAAGGCTGCGAGAACGGAGATTTAATGTAGGTAAACACGGCGACCAAGGCACAGTACGACGGCATGAAGTAATTCTTCCAGCGCCGCGTTACACAGGGCAGCCGGACTTTGGGCAACGAAGAAGCATTCAGACATGTTGCAGATGAGCTGCATAATGAATGCTCTCCTGATCCCAGTAAACGACAGCAACGCGCAACACGAATAACAGCCCAAAAACTTGACGGATAATGTGAGGACACAATCCGAAATCAAACGAACACATCGGAGCATGTTACCACGATCGCAGAGGCAAAACAGTCTGCAGGAAACGCCACGGCAAGCGAAGGTGGATCAAAAACCCGTGAGCGGAAACAAGGTTGTGCAACAGTTAAAAGGGTTCCCTGCTGACAGTACCAAGTTCACGGAATGGAGCGAAACGTTGTTACATGTATTTCCCAGTTGAAGCACGTTTATGGGAATGCCCCAGAATAATTCTAACAACCAGTTAAAACCATGGACGGGGCATTGCCCGATGACGAAGACCACGATCTCATAAAGACCACGCATCGGAATTCAACGCTGAGCGAGCACACCAAGGCGCCGGGAACCAAGATAAGGAGAGATGACGATACAGGGGGCATGCGCTAGACGAAACGGGTGAGGCGTCCTTTCTTAGGGGGCTGTGCACTCGGGGAAAGGGGCTTCTGCGGGGTCGCGGGTCTTGGTTCGTCTTCCTCGTTTATTTCCTCCTGCGTTTTGCTGGATTCGGTTCGCGCGCAGGCGCCCTGTTCCAAGGGTCGGGGTCTAGCCGTCCCCGCGCTGCCGCCGGCTTCTGTCGATGCCCTTGGTCGTCGGGCTCTTCTCCTGGCAGCGGTCTTGGCTGTTCCATTCTCTGTTGAAGCTCCTGGTCGACGCACCTGGTCGGCGCCCAGTTCCCCCATCAGGTGTTCGGCGGTTTCACTGCCTACCGCCTGCTACGCACCGCGATGCATCTGGTCAGCGATCCTGGCTGCACCGCGTCTCACCTCACACCCCCAGATCCTATTGGGCGTGTCCGTGGCACCTTCTCGGCAGCTCGTGCCGTTCCATTCGTCTCTTGGCACTTTGCCATCAATTTTGCAAAATCATCCATCTGTCCGAGGCGGCTGGTCAGCGGTCCTGGCTGCACCGCATCTCACCCCATCCAGTACTTCTTCGTGCGAGTACGTTGCAGCCGGGTCGGCAGCCCTGGGTACCCCATTCGTGCCCCTGCACTTCCCCCTCCCGCCGATTATGTATCCATTTCCCATTCTCTTGCTTTCATAATGTTTCCCTTCGCTCCCCCCCCTGCCCAACTGGGGCTTCAGTCAGGGGCACGGCAGGCATTATATACACGACGGCGGCCATTTCCGCCAGACCCCGGCAGAGACGACGAGCGACCGTCGGCCCAGTCCAAGTCGCATCCTCGCCCTCCCTCTACTCACGCACGCTTATACATAGCTTGCCTCCCCCCCCTCCTTCCCGCCCCCCCCCCCCCCTCCCATTCAGGAGAGGAGGATGAAGAGGAGGGCGAGGCTTCCGAGCCTTGTCGACAAAAGGCTGGTGTCACCCGCTCCGGAGAGGCCGTGCGCTCGTGGCAAACATTCCGGTGGCGCCCACACCTGAGGGACCCATCCGCCTGCGGCGCACGCTCTGCTTCGCACATCGCCAGCGCACGGTGGTCCCCGTGGGAAGAGCGAGGGGCTCGGCACAAATAGTACCACGAAGACAATCGCGCTTCGCTCCCATCCGTGCCCCTCCTCTCCCCCTCTTCCTTCATACGCTGCAACCCTCCGTTTGATCTCCCTCCTATAGACCTCTCCCGCATACTTCCTCGCAGCGCTGGCTTAAGCAGCACGTTTCCGACGATGGACCCTCTCTTAGCTGAGGTCCAAGATGGAAATTCCGCTCAACAGGAATGGGGGGGCGTTTTTGACCTTCACCTGCGCTTCGATTTTCTGTCCGCGAATGGCGCGGGCCCCGCCCTGCTGCATTCCTGGCGGCACGGGCATTCTCTCGGGGCGTCACCTGTCGTTCCGAGGCAGGCGCGCAATCATCCCTCCGTCACGTCCCAGCTCGCGTGGGCCGAACGCGAATGGGACCGCCTTGCTGAAACCGGGAAGGTTTCTGTTTTGACTGTCGACGCCCCTCCGCCCAAACACCTCAACGTCAACCCGTGCGGCTTAATCCTGAAGCCGCGTCCCGGGGCGGACGCCGAGGCCGACGAAACTGAGCGCTTCAAAGCGCGTTCAATCGTCGATCTTAGGCGGGGGGGAGTCAACGAGTGCATGCCAAATGCCGACGTTGCGTACGGCACGCTAGACCAGGCAGTGGCCCGCATGTCCGCGGGTTCTTGGCTGTTCGTGCTCGACTTGCGTGACTTATATATATATATATATATATATATATATATATAAAGTGGCGTGTGTCCGACGCCGACTCGTACGCCTCAGGTTTCTACTCCACTGGCAGACGCCAGTTCGGGAAATACAACTATTTACCATTCGGCCTCAAGCTTGCGCCTGGTATCAACGATACCAACGTGAAGGAGAGTTTGAGAATCCTCCGCCTGCGCGCCGAAGTGGACCTGTTAGACTTCGTTGACGATCTTTTAGGCGCGGTACCGGACGAGAGCACGGCTTGGCAGAACCTGTGTCGAGCAGTTCGATTTCTGTTGCGGCGTGGCATCCCCATCAGTGCCAGGCCTGGCGGCATCCGCGCACCAGCGCGCCGACAAACCTGGATCGGTTGGGTGTTCGATACTGTCGACTGCATAATCACCGTGCCGCGTGAAAAGCCTGACCGCTGTCGCGAGTTGTGCGCTGCCGTTCTCGAGGCAGACCAACACCGCGCACTCCGCAGCAAACAGTGAGCATCGGCAGTAGGTTTGGCCTCGCACATCGCGGAGCTCCTGCCGCAGTTGCGTCGCCGGCTTCGCCCTCTTTGGGCAGACTTTACCGCGTCGGGGGTGTATTCGGCGCGGCGTTCCAGCCCCCTGGCCGACCCACCGGCGACCCTATCGGAGCTCAGCCGCGCAGCCCTGGCGCACATCTGCTCCGCCCTGGGCACGCCCCCAGCGCGTTCCTTGCACTGCGGCGGCGGGCCTCTCAGCGCGTGGGGCCAGAAATCCCCCGAGTTCGCTGATTGGGCGAACCTTGCTCGCGAAGGCGCAATCCGGGTCGTGGAGCGCGACGCTTCCAAAATGCACGGTTGGCCATACCACCTGTGTTGGGACAGCCGCGTTGTAGTCGAGGCGCGGCCTGAAAATTTTGCAATCGGGGAGGCGCAGCCCAATTCCTTGGAAATCAATTACACGGAGTTGCGGGTTGCAGTCCAGCGCCTTCTCAGGGAGTCTTCTTCCTTGAAGGGTTGGCGAGTTCTGTTCAGGCTCGACAATTCCGCTGCCGTGCATTGCGTCAATGTGCGCTACGGGCGGATGCCTTCCCTCGAGTCTTTGGCACATCGTTTCGAAAGTGCCGAGCAGGCGGCTCAATGTTGGGCGCTGGCCTTGCGCATCCCTGGCAAGAGCGACGTCATTGCAGACGCGGGTTCTCGGTCCTTGGATTTCGCGCGTTCCTGGCGCGAGGATCTGCGCAGGGGCGCCGCTCTCCGCAAGGCCTTGTTTCAAGAGGTCGAATCAAGATGCGGCGTTCAGTTCGCGGTGGACATGTTCACAGATGGACTCGGCAGGACGGCTTTCGCCCGCGAGTGGCGATTTCCAGAACTTTCCGTTTTCCAGGCCGACCTACGCGGCCACGTGGTGTGGGCGCACCCACCGCGCGCGCTCTTGAAGGAGACGTTCCAATGTTTGACTTCCGCCGTTGCTGGTGACGCAGACCTGCGCGTTGTCGCCCTGTGCCCGGACGACCCAGGAAACCCGTGGTTCCGTCCGTCGTTGCTTTCCAAGTGGCGCAGGATCAGATCGTGGCCCGCCGGATCAGACCTTTTCCGGTGGCCGTCCGATCGGGGCCCGTCGAAAGGCCCGGCATCGGATCTGTCATGCATCGTGCTCCAAGCGCAAGCGCTGACGCAGCTGACTGTGCTCCTCGGCGCTTGCAAAAGCACATGCAGTATTACACATGTTTACCCTTCCTCCGCCCCCCCCCCCTCCTGGTCCTTCGCCCTTACCCACTATTGCGGTGCGTTGCTGGAGTTTTCTTGTCGACCCAGGGCCGGAAGTATTCCTCCTGTTCAGATTCTTGTTTCTTCGGCTGCACCCTATGCCCCCCGACTGTCCGTGCCTTGCGGATGCCCCGAAAGCTTCTGTTTATCGCATTTCGGCTCAGCTGGTCCATCAGCGGATCTGCCGATCGATCACCGCCCCGCCGGGGGATGGCGAATCCGAATGAGGACCGCGTCAAGACCCTCATCGCCGAGGCGGTTGCGGCCGAGTGCGCCCAGGGAGGTGCCATCCACGCAGCGGTGCTCGCCGGCATCGCCAAAGAGGTCGCCGTCGACAGGGCCGTCGGCGTCGCTGCCGATCGCGCCGTCGGAGAGGGTCTTGCGAAGGCGACCCGGATCCCGGAATTCCAGGCCCAGGCTGACGCGGAGTTCCCGTTCCGCAAGGCGCTGCGCGAGCTCAGCATTGACCGGATCAGGCGGGCGTGGTCTGCGATCATGGTGGACGCCGACCAGGTAGAGGAGTCTGTCACTGAGTCCCTCGCTGACCCAGAAGATCCCATGGCCACCATTTACGTTTTGCACGCCGCTCACCCAGCTAATTCGGAGCTGTCCGCGCTTCAGAGCAGCGCAGCCTTGCGCCGCGCGGCCCGGGCCACCTGGAAGCGGCCGTGCTTCCCCGAGCGGGGGGCCCGACCGGTTTCAGGTGTACTTGGGCGAGCGCGCTGAGAGCAGTGACCAAGCTGTTCGCGCTTTGGCTCGGGCCATTTTGGCGCTGTGCCATTTGATCGAGAAGCGCGCGACGGTGCAAGCGAGCAAAAAAAAAAACGGCACCGGCGAAGCGCGCTGCCCAGAAGCTGGTTTTGATGCCGTACGTCTACGAATGCATCGAGAGTTTTAAGCGGCGATGCAACAAGCCGTCTGCCGCGGCAGCGCTCGGCAGCGAGCTGCTGCTCCGTGATTCTGGAATCAATGGCCGTTGCCCTGGGTGCACAGATTGTTCTGCGCGCGATCTTGGTTGCCGTAGCGCCTTTGTCTGGGGCGCGGGATGTAATTCACGCGCTTGCCGGCGGAGTCCCTGCTGGGCCGTTCCCAGCGCATGATCATTTTTGTTCCGCCGCGCGCTTGCGGTCCGAGCAGGCGCGCTGGGCCGGTCGCCGCGACTCTGTCCGAGGCCGCGCCCAGCACACGCACCCAGAAAGAATGCGCAAGTCGTCGCGTCGCCGTCTGCTCCTCTCATCGCCCTGCCTCCTTTCTTTTCGCCTGCCCCCTGCGCCGCCCTCCCCGCCCCGCCCCCCTCCCTTCCTGCTCGGCCCCGCCCCTGGGTCGTCGGCGGGCGCGGGCGGCGGTTGCCAGTTGCGCGCCGCAAGCAATGACCACTGCCGGGGGCCAGAATCGCCGGGGACCCGGGCGCGGCTCGAGCGGCCCATGCGACCGACAGAAAGCGTGGTAAAAAAAAAAAAAAAAAAAAAAAAAAAAAAAAAAAAAAAAAAAAAAAAAAAAAAAAAAAAAAAAAAAAAAACGCTCGATCGCTTCATTTTTTCGCACCCTTCGGGTCGAGAAACATGTTGTCTCATCGCTGCGCGGGCTCACCGGGCCCGCGCGCCATAGGCAATAACTACCGCAGGGGCCACTATCACCTGGGGCCTCGGCCAGCCCAGGCGGCTGGCAACCGCCAAAAGCACCGATGAAAAAACAAAAAAAAAAAAAAAACAAAAAAAACAAAAAAAAAAAAAAAAAAAAAACGCGCGATAGGTGCACTTTTCTGTCCGTCCGGCGGCGCGAAATGCACCTTCGTCGCCGCCCCTCCCCCCGCCTGTCAGTCGTCCGGGAAGGGCCGCCGCGACGCTATCCATGTCGGGCTCAAGATGAGCGCGGCCCCGGTTCGCCAGAGCCCGCGCGCCGCCGGCGTCTCGGCCCCGCCTGCCTGCGCCGCGACGATTTCGAGCGCCCGGGGCCTTCTGCCGAGAGGCCGCATATCCAGGGGCCCCGCGCTGTTCCTTCGCAGGCACCCCCGGCACCTGCAGGGGGGGCCCGCCCGAGCGACGCACGCTGGCACCGTCGCTCGTCAAGCGGGCTTGCTGTGTCCCCCGCGTTTCATCCCGAGCAAGTTCGAGACCCGCCGGTGGGCGTGCCTGGCGCGCGCCAGCTTCTGAGTGAGGGCCCCGACCTTTTTGCCCCTAATTCGCGAGGAGCGCTTCTGTGGAACAGGGGGCGCACCGCAGTAGGGCCGCGTCGGCTATCCACAGCTGCCTCCAAGCAGTCCCTGGAAGAAAGCACCAAGAAGCGGTGGCAGCTCCTTGCGCACCGGCGTAGATTCTTTCGAAAAGTCTGCAGGGCTGCAGCTGCTGCCGCGCGATTCAGACGTAACATTCATGTTGCTGTTTGCCCAGATGGACGGCCGGTCCCGGTCATCCGTCACGAATCTGCGCGCTGCAGTGCGCCGTTGGCACCAGCAGCGCAACTTGACAGCGCAATTCGACAGTGCATGGACGGACCGGTCGGCCCAATTCTGGAGAGGTCTCAAGAAGCGGGCCGACCATTCACGGTCGCACGCGAAACGCCCGGTATCTCTGGAGGAGTGCGGTGCTACCAGACCGCCCGCCTCAAAGCAGGCAGCCAGGCAGCTGCCCCGGACGCCGCTATAGCAGCATCTCTTTTCGGCGTCCGGAGGTGCTCCGAGACTCTCGCGCTCTGGCGTCAAAACATCTCTTTACGCGAAAATTTCGCGACGGTTTTCGTTGCCCGCCAAAACAACGACCCGCTCGGGCAAGGCATGGTGTGCCACATCCCAAGGAAGGTCGACATCCCAAGTCTATGCCCTTGCCACCTCCTGCGGGAATGGCTAGCGCAGCGGGACTCGCGCTGGGGTTCCGACCCAGATGCTCCCGTGTTTTGCACAACTCATTCGGCGGAACCTCGCCGTTTGAACTGCGATTCTTCCCGCCGTAATCTCGCGCAGTTCTTTCAGACTGCTGCAGTGGGAACGCACTCCCTGCGCAAAGGTGGTGCCCACTGGTACAAAACAGCGTGCTCCTTGCCAGAAGAATTAGTGCAGGCTCAGGGCGGCTGGTCAGCCCCAGAAACCATGCGAGCCTTTTACGCCCGGTTCTCAGATTGAGAACGGTGCGATCAGCTGCTACGCGCCGTGTCTACAGCTTCGAGTGGCATGGCGGTCCCAGCCGTCACTCATCGCCAGGCGCGCGTTTCACCAATGCCTCTGTGGAGGCGCCTCACTGGGAGCTTGTAAAAACTCGCCTCCTCGGGGTTGCGCCTGGCCAGTGCTCCTGGCGACCGTTCCTGGGTCGCCGCGGACCTGGCCAGGCCGGCCTGCAGCTCCAAGAGGCACCCCACAAGAGGCATATGTTGCCAGCACGAGAGAAGCCGCCTTGGGCTTAGAGGCAAAATAGTTCCTTCCCGACTCCGTCCCCAAGCCACGGGGGCAGCGAGTAAGCAGAAGGCGTCCTTTCTTAGGGGGCTGTGCACTCGGGGAAAGGGGCTTCTGCGGGGTCGCGGGTCTTGGTTCGTCTTCCTCGTTAATTTCTTCGTGCGTTTTGCTGGATTCGGTTCGCGCGCAGGCGCCCTGTTCCAAGGGTCGGGGTCTAGCGTTCCCGCCCCCCACACCCATTTTTCACGTGCCTGCTGCACTCCACTTCCCTTCGGGGGGGGGTGCGCCTGGCCAGTGCTCCTGGCGACCGTTCCTGGTTCGCCGCGGACCTGGCCAGGCCGGCCTGCAGCTCCAAGAGGCACCCCACAAGAGGCATATGTTGCCAGCACGAGGGAAGCCGCCGTGGGCTTAGAGGCGAAATAGTTCCTTCCCGACTCCGCCCCCAAGCCACGGGGGCAGCGAGTAAGCATAATGCCAAGTTGGTCGTGGGCCTTTGGTATTTGTGCCATGACATATTAGAGGCAATGGGGCCATGGGCCATGGGGAAGCGTAGTGGCCTACATGAAGGACGCGGCCTTATGGCTTATGAAAATTAGAAAGAGCGTTATGCGGTTGGTTCCGTTACGCATTCGCACAAGAGAAACAGGTCGATGAATCCCGAGCACATAGAAACAACACCCGCACGATGCGGCTATGCAGCTTAAGCCATGGAGCGCATTAGTGGAATCCCTGGGCAAGTATGGGTCTGCCTACCCGTTTCCACTGCCATACAGGGCTGCAGCCTTAAAGGGCCATTCTGGCACATGCATGTCATTGGTTTACCGACTGGCGAAATAGTGCGTCAACCCCCATAGTCGTCGGCTACTGACACCAACGAAAGGCTCTTCGGTCAATGCGAATATCGGGAAAGAAATGCTGGGCAGACGCCGGTACGAATAACACCGATTCAGTCAAACTTGTCCAGCTTAGATATGTCGACAGTGGAAACGGGGACACCACTGGAGACGACGCAGGTCATTAAGGCGAGCTAGGTAACTAGTGGTCCTCGAGTGTGGAAGGCATGGTCGATAATGGCAACACGAGCGAATCTAGCAATTGGAATAGCAATGGCCACGGACCCGTGTGTGACAGGTGCGGAAGGCATGGGGATATGGCTAAGGACTGCGCTGACACGGGGACCACGACAGGAAAAGGAGGCGGAGCACGGAGAGTTCAAAGGAGTCAAAGGGGGGTATCAAGGCACCAAGGGCTACCCGGGAGGTTACGGCAAGGGAGGCTGCAAAAGGGATCCCCAATGATGTTGCCAGGGGAGCCATGCCCCAGGCTGGACAAGAGGGGGTATGGGTGGATTCGTG